GGGGAGGATCGGAAGGGGAAACAAAGGAGGAGGCTACAATGCTTGATAAGAAATGTACTCATTATCTTGCCAATGTAATTGTAACTCCTCTGTACAGTATTTTCACAATAAAAAAGAAAAAAAAGAGTGGTTTTTCACTTGTAAGATATAGACTTGCCTTTTCAGATGGGTTCATCAGCTACAGTTCCCTGATGTGGGCAGTGCTTCACTGGTTGGCTACGTATTATATAAAATTGTATAGATACTGTACAGAGGGGTTACAGTTACATGAGTAAGGTAATGAGTACATTTCCTATTGAGCATTGTTACCCCCTCCTTTGTCCCCCCTCCCTCCTCTTCCCCCCGTCCCCTGATCATCCCTTCTTGGTTACATATTTTCTTTCATCCTTGTTTCTTCTTTCTTTGAACTCAGGGCTTCATGCTCTTGTTTGACTTTTTTGCTCAAGACTGGTGTTCTTTCACTTGAGCCATACTCTAACCTCCTCACCTCTGTTTTTTTTTTTTTTAACCTTAGACTCACTTGTGGGATTGCTTTCCTGCTTGAAGTAATAACTAGTGTATATAGTGTTCTGTACTTTCTGGAAATGTAGTGCTCTTCTGCTGTGACCCACTGTATTCTGCTCTGTTCTCAGAGCCAGATATTTCACAGTCCTTAAGTTTTTCTCAGATCAGGGGCAGTTCAGGCATTCCCAAACTCTAGAAGACCAAATCAAGCTCTCAGAGTGGTTCTCTGAAGGTGCCTTTCACTTCACTTAGGGAAACTCTACATTATCAATTTTCATCAAGGACTTCTCATTCATGGCTTCAGTTTAATTTCCAGCCTTCTCTCATATATTGTTAGTGAGGATGATGAACTAATAATTGTGAAATTCCATTCACAATCTAGCAATGATGGGTTGCCCAAAACTCAGGGCAGGGTCAGATGCAGTGGCTCATACCTGTAATCTTAGCTTCTCAAGAAGTGGAGCTTAGGAAAATCACAGAGACAATCTGGATAAAAATATTAATAAGACTCAGATGAATTCTACAAGGCCTTCAAAGCAGAACTCACACAATACTCCTCCAACTCTTCAATGAAATTGAAAGTTCATTACCAAACTCTTTCTATGAAGCCATCATAACCCTCATCCCAAAACCAGACAGGGACTCATCAAAGAAAGAGAACTATAGACCCATTTCTTTGATGAACAACAATGCAAAACTTCTCAACAAAATCCTGGCCAATCAACTTCAACAACTCATCAAAAAATCATATACCATGATCAAACAGGATTCATTTCAGGGATGCAAAGCTGGTTCACTATACACAAATCAATTAATGTAATTCATCACATCAACAAGAGCAAGGATGAGAAACACATGATTATCTCAATAGATGCAGAAAAAGCATTTGACAAAATCCAACACACCTTTATCATGAGAGCTCTAGGGAAACTAGGAATTCAGGGAACATTCATCAATATAATAAGGGTTGTGTTTGACAAACCTATAGCCAGCATTATACTTAATGGTGAAAAGCTAAAGCCATTTCCTCTAATCTCAGAAACGAGACAAGGATGTTTGCTCTATCCACTCCTCTTCAATTTAATATTAGAATGCCTAGCTACAGCAATAAGACAAGATGGAAACATAAGGGGATCAAAATGGGGAAAGATGGAGTAAAACTCTCTTTGCAGATGACATGACCTTGTATTTAAAGAACCCCATGGATCCCACTCACAAGTTATGTGAGCTGATTCAAAACTTTGGCAAATAGCAGGGTATAAAATTAACCCTCAAAAATCAATGACTTTTCTGTATGCCAATAATGAGAAGAGTACTGCTGAAATCAGGAAAGCAACTCCTTTTGTCATAAGCCCCTGCCCCCCGAAAAATAAAATACCTAGGAATTAACTAAAAAAGTGAAGAGCCTCTATGATGAAAACTTTAAAAACTTGAAAAAGAAGATTAAAGCAGAACTAAGCAAGTGGAAAAACCTGCCATGCTCCTGGATTGGGAGGATTAACATCATGAAAATGGCAATACTGCCAAAGGCTATCTACAAATCCAATGCAATACCCATCAATATCCCAACCTCATTCTTCAATGAAATAGAAGAAGCAATCCAAAAATTCATATGGAACAACAAAAGACCCCAAATAGCAAAAACAATCCTTAGCAGAAAAAACAGTGCTGGAGGAATATCAATGCCAAACTTCAAATTCTAGTACAAAGTCATAGTAATCAAAACAGCTTGTTACTGGCATAAAACCAGACCTGAGGACCAATGGAATAGAGTTGAAGAGCCAGAAATGAACCTGCAGACTATAGCCACCCAATTTTTTGATAGGGAGCTCAAAAAATAGAATGGAAGAAAGACAGACTCTTCAGTAAATAGTGCTGGCAAAATTGGTCAGACACCTGTAGAAAACTAAAATTAGGGGCTGGGAAAATTAGTGGCTCAGTGGTAGAGTGCTTGTCTTGCATACATAAGGCCATAGGTTCGATTCCTCAGCACTACATAAGCGGAAAAAAGCAGAAAAAGTGGAAGTGGTACTGTGGCTTGAGTGGTAGAGCGCTCACCTTAAGCTGAAGAGCTGAGGGACAGAGCCCAGGCCCAGAGTTCAGGTACCATGACCAACACCAAAAAAAAAAAAAAAGAAGAAAGAAAGAAAAAGAAAGAAAACTAAAATTAGATTCTTATATATCAACCTGCACCAGAATCAACCCCAAATCAAACACCTCAAAGTCAAAGCAGACACCCTGAAAACATTACTGGAAGGAATAGGAGAAACTCTAGAGCTCCTTGGCACAGGTTGAAATTTTCTTAATAAAGATCCAGAAACACAACAAATAAAGAAAAGGTTGGACAAATGGGATTGCATGAAACTGCAGAGCTTCTGCATGGCAAAGGACATAGCTAGCAAGATCAATAAAATCCCCACATACTGGGAGAAGATCTTCACTAGCCATACAACAGACAATGGCCTCTATCTAAAATATACTTAGAACTCAAAAAATAAATGCCCAACAACAAATCCTCAAAGAAATAACTGCCCCACTAATAAGTGGGTTAAAGTCTCTAAAGAGAGACTTCTCTGAAGAGGAAATAAGAATGGCCAATAGACACATGAAGAAATATTCATCATCTCTGGCCATAAAAGAAATGCAAATCAAAACAACATTGATATTCCACCTTACCCCAGTTAGAATGGCTATAATCAAGAAATCTAGTGACAACAGATGCTAGAGGGGATGTGGCCAAACAAGAACTCTATTGCATTGTTGGTGGTAGTGTAAACATGTTCAACCACTCTGGAAAGCAGTATGGAGGTTCGTCAAAAGACACCACATAGAGTTCCCCTGTAACCCAGCAATTCCCCTTTTAGGCATCTACCCAAATGATCACAAACAAGGCCATACTAAAGCTACCAGCTCAACTATGTTTATTGCAGCATTAGTCACCATAGCTAAGATATGGAACTAACCTAGATGCCTCTCAGTAGATGAATGGATCAAGAAACTGTGATATATCTATCTATCTATCTATCTGTCTATCTATCTATCTATCTATCTATCTATCTATCTATCTATCTATCTATCTATCTATCTATCTATCTATCTATCTATCTATCTATCTATCTCTCTATATCTCACACAATGGAATTCTATGTTTCCATAAAGAAGAATGACACCACAACATTTGTTAGGAAATGGAAAGACTTGGAAAAAATCATATTAGGTGAAGTTAGACAGACCCGAAGAAATATAGGTACCATGGTTTCCCTCATTGCAATAATTAGTATACATCTAGGATATTTGATCAAATAAGCAGAAAAGCTCAAAATTTATGTACATATGACCATATAAGATGATACTAAGGGAAATGAGCCCCAAGATATGGATACAACAGGTGGTTTTTTGTTTTGTTTTGTTTTTTTTTTTCTGGTTATGAGGCCTGAACTCTGGGCCTCGGCACTGTCCTCAGCTCTTCAGCTCAAGGCTAGTGCTCTACCATTTGAGCCACAGTGGTGATGAGGAATCAAACCCAGGGCCTCATGTGTGCAAGGCAAGCACTCTACCACTGAGTCACCTTCCCAGCCTTTGTTGTTGTTTTTAATAAACTATATGATTTTTTTCTTTTGTATGTTCTTCCCCCTATGGTATATCCTCTGTTCTCATTGTACTTGATTTTGGTACCCTGCATCTTGTATGTACATTTATATAATTTAGGGAGGGGAAGGGGAATAACAAAATGCTGAAACAAGGACATAGGATGAACTATTGCAACAATGATACTCACAAGACATTATGTTGGAAATAAACTTTACAACTTCAGGGGACAGGGAAGGAGTGGAAGATGTCAGGGAGGGAAGGTATAATAGGAAGAAAATAAAAGAGGGGGTAACAATGTTTGATAAGAAATGTACTCATTACCTTACTCATGTAACAATGTTTGATAAGAAATGTACTCATTACCTTACTCATGTAACTGTAACCCCTCTGTACAGCATCTTTAGAATAAAATTAAAAAAATTAAAAATTAGTAAGTCTCCATCTCAACAAACAAGGCAGGTGTGGTATATAATCCCAGGTATTCAGGAAAATCATGGTTGAAGGCTGGTCATGTAAAAAACATGAGACTCTTATCTGAAAAATACTTAAAGCAGAAAGGATTGAGGTGTTGCTCTAGTAGCAGAGTGCACAGAAGCCCCTTAATTCAAATCCCCGAACCACCAAAAAATGTGTTATGTGTATTACATAAGTGGTAACATCATGTAAATGAACAACTAATTTGATCAATATATCTTAAAAAAGTTGTGTGGAGAGAGAAAGAGTGCAAATAAATAATACATTTTTCAAGAATTGTTTTTTACCTAGGGGTTGAGGGCCAAGCTCTTCACTGAGTCACATGACTGGAACTGGATGCTCATCAAAATGGCCAGATAATAAATCTTCTTTTCCATGAAAGGCTATGGTTATTCTGCTTGAAGAAAGAGTCTTGGCTATAGAAACCTTATTCATGAACTGTGGATAATTCTTGTTCCACAGAAGACATGGCGGAGGGCATATTTCATGTCCTTGTTGCGGAGGCTATAGATGAAAGGGTTTAAAGCTGGAGTCACTGAAGAGTATATCAGTGTGATGATCTTATGCACCACAGCTGAGCTGCCAGATGTGGGACTCATATACATCACCATTATGGTTCCATAGAACAGAGAAACTACAGCCAAGTGGGACCCACAGGTTGAGAAGGCCTTTCGCCGTCCAGCTGAAGAGCGAACCTGGAAGACAGCTCTAAGCACTAGGGCATAGGATCCCAGGATGTACAAGATAGTGAGAGTGATGATAAGACAGCTCAAAGAATAAAAGACATGCCCTACGATGGGAGTAGGGTCACAGGACAGAGCCATCAGTGGATCCACATCACACAGAAAGTGGTCGATCATATTAGGACCACAGAAAGTTAATTGAGAAATGAAGAAAATGGGAATTGAATATACAAAGAAACCAATGATCCAGCAAAGGGACACCAAAATGCCACAGAACTGTCCAGTCATGATGGAGGGGTAGTGCAAGGGGCGGCAGATGGCCAGGTACCGATCATAAGCCATGACACAGAGGAAGAAGCATTCTGTTGTGCCCAGGGAAAAGAAAAAATAGAACTGAATGAAACAACCAGAAAAGGACATGGTCTTAGTTTTGGAAAGAAAGATGACCAGCATATTGGGGGCTGTGCAGGTCACATACCAGATTTCTAGGAAGGAGAAGTTGGCCAGGAGCATGTACATAGGTGTGTGGAGTTGGTGCTCCCAACTCACTGCACAAAGGATGGCCAAATTCCCAATCAGAGTCAACAGGTAGACCAAGAATATCAGTGAGAAAAGGGTGATTTGCACTTCCCAGGGACCAGCAAAGCCCAATAAGATGAAATGTGTCACAGTGGATGTCTGTGACTTATTCATGGTCCTCAGACTGTGGAGACAAGAGGAAAGACAGATAATATTAATGTACTCTGCTGCTGAAACATCTGAAAGTTTTTTTTTTTGAGATGAGTTTTGATGCATGCAGGGAGTGTAATGATGTTCTAAAACAAATTGCGTTCTTTTTTTGTGGTTGGTTGTGTGGATTGAGCTCTGGGCCTGGGTGCTGTCCTCAGCTCAAGGTGAGCACGCTACCACTTAAACCACAGCACCACTTCTGGTTTTCTGGTGGTTTATTGGAGATACGAGTCTCACAGACTTTCCTGCCTGGGCTGGCTTTGAACAGCGATCCTCATATCTCAGCCTTCTGAGTAGCTAGGATTACAGGCACGAGCCACCAGTGCCCAGCTGTATTCTATTTTGAATTTGCCTTTTGGCAATTGTTTTGGTGTGCTGGTACTGGGGCTGGAACTTAGGGCTTTGTGCTTTTGTTTGGCTTTTTTGTTCTGGCATTCTACAACTTGACATACCTCCACATCCAGATTTTTGCTTATTTATTAGAGATAAGAATCTCACAGACTTTCTGCCTAAGCTGGATTAAATTTTGATCCTCAATTCTCAGCTAGTATAGCAGGCATGAGCCACCAAAGCCCGACAATGGCTTCACTTCTTTTGTTTTTGCTAGTCCTGAGGTTTGGACACAAGGCCTAGACACTGCCCCTTAGCTTCTTTTGCTCAAGGTTAGCACTGTACCACTTGAGCCACAGCATCACTTCTGCCTTTTTCTGTTTATGTGATACTGAGGAATCAAACCCAGGGCTTCATGCATGCTACACAAGCACTCTACCACTAAGCCACATTCCCAGCCCCTCAGTCTTTTAAAAATGTAAATTCTAGATTGTTTGAATTTACCTGGTGGTAGACAAAAATCAGTTAAAGTAATCCTCTTTAGTTCAGTGACAGCATGTTCTAGTATGCACAAGGCCTTGGATTCCCTCTCTGGCACTGGAAAAACCAAAGCCAAACCAAACCAACACCTCAAAATACAACAGACAAAATTATACAGAAATCTTGAAAATGGTTTGTTTGATACCTAGTTAGTTCTTTTTTCAGTGAAAGTTGCTCACATAGACAATTATTTAGTGCCATTCATCTTAAAATATGAGGACATATATATTATTGTTTTTAAATAGATTTCAATGTGAGACTTTTTAGAAATTTGAATGATTTATGCTTTAACATTAGTTCAGATTATTTATGGACCTATTTTAGTTAGGAGATTTTATTTCTCTTTCCTTCCTTCTTCTTCTTGTCCTTTTGTGCCAGTATTGAAGCTTGAGCTCAGGGCTCTGCTCTTGATTGGCTCTTTCACTTCACCACTTGACTCTATCATACTTCTGGTTCTGCTTTTTTGGTGGTTAGTTGGAGATAAGAGTATCACAGATTTTATCCCTGGGCTGGTTTCAAACTGCCACACTCAGATCTCAACTTCTTGAATAGCTAGAAGTACAGGTGTAAGCCACCAGCACTAGAAGAATTTATTTTTTACCTTCTAAGTAATGATAGCTGGGTGCTGGTGGCTCATGCTTGCTATCCTAGCTATTCAGGAAGTGGAGATCTGAGGATTGTGCTTCAAAGCCAGCCTGAGCATGAAAGCCTGTGAGACTCTATATCTAATTAAGTACTAAAAATGTTGAAAATGGAGCTGTGGCTCAAGTTGTACAACACTAGACATGAGCAAAAAAGCTCAAATACCCAGACCAGAACAACAACAAAAAATATTGATAGAAGAAAATGGATAAGAATATGCAAATGATAAAAATTATATAACAGATAATTAAGTTAGTTTTTTTTCTGGTGGTTTTGGAGTGTAAACCCAGAGCCTTTTGCTTGCTAGGCAGAGGTTCTCTCACTGAGCCCTGCCTTCAACAACTATAGCTCATTTATAATTTGATAATTAATACTTTGTTTATATCCATGAAAAGCCACTATCATTCACTGTCTGATGGGTACTTTTACTTGTTATTTTCTCATTTATCTCTATTTAAAAAGAAGTATTTTGGGGGGTAGGAGTAGAGGAAGTAGGGGAGGAAAAGAATAGTAGGACAAAAACAAAAGAGGGGGTAACAATGTTCGACAAGAAATGTACTCATTACTCATGTAACTGTAACCTCCCTGCACAGCATCTTTACAATAAAATAAAATTAAAAAATATTTCAATAAAGATGAATATAAATATAAATGTATGACATATTAAAGAGAAAATTTACAGTTACAAAGCAATTCTATTCTAAAGTCTTATTATTACTTGCCAGAATTTTTCTTTAGAGTTAGTTATTTGGAAGATTTTACTTTATTAAAAAGTAGTAAAAAATACCTTAGATATTCAAAATAAAAAGATATGACTGGGGGCTGGTGACTCATACCTATAATTCTAGCTACTTAGAAGACTGATATCTAAGGATTGCAGTTTGAAGCCATTTAAGGTAAGAAAGTCCCTGAGACTTTTATCTTCAATTAACCGTCAAAAAGTCATAAGTAGAGTTATAGATCAAGTGGTATAGTGCTAGCTGTGAGCAAAAAAAAATCAGGGATAACACCCAGGCTCTGAGTTCAAACCACAGGATCATTACACACACACACACACACACACACACACACATCAAAGATGTTTCAAAAACTAATTATTTACATTTTGCTAAGGCATAGCCCAAGAGGTAGAAGACCTGCCTTGCAAACATGAGGCCTAGAGTTCAAATCTAAGTAGCCCACATAAATTATCCACACTTCAAAATTTGTTCTTTCTTTTTTTAGATTACAATCATTGAAGAAGATATGTATATGTATATTATTTTATATTTTGTCAGTGCTTGTGGTTGAACTCAGGGCCTGGGCATTGTCTGAACTTCTTTTGCTCAAGGCTAGCACTCTACTACCACTTGAACCACAATGCCACTTTCGGCTTTTTCTGTTTATGGTACTGAGGAATTGAACCCAGGGCTTCATGCATGTTAGGCAAGCACTCTACCACTAAGCCATATTCCCAGCCCATATATATATATATACACACATATATATAATATATGTATATGTATATATAATATATGTATATATAATATATATTTCTGCTTTTCTATTAATATATATATTGATTGTACAAAATAACTGGGTTCATTGTGACATTTTTATATATGAATACAATGGACTTAATTTTCATCTCCATTCCTGTCTTTTATAGTTACCAAAATGTCTATATCTATATCTCTACACATATATTTGTGTTAGTCCTGAGGCTTGAGCTCAGGGCCTAGGGCTATCCCTGAGCTTTTTCTTTGACCAAGGCTGATATACAACTTAAGCCATAGTTCCACCCCTGGCTTTCAGACGGGTAGCTGCAGATAAAAGCCATATAAACTTTCTTGCTGGGAGTGGTTACTGCAATCCTCAGATTTTAGCTTGCTGGGTAGCTAGGATTACAGATATAAGCCACTAGAGCCTGGCCACCAAGAATATATTTATATCACATTTAAGAACCACATGCAGCTCCAAGAAAGAGCACAATCATAGTTTTAACATATTGTAATATCCAAAGGATTTAAGCACAATTTTAAACTTTTTTGATTGATAAAAGGAAAATTTACTTTAAATGTCATTTTGATAAAGCAGTGCATATATAGTACTTCAACAGACTTAAATAGAAGAAGCCCTTCTATTATTGAGGTTATATTAATCAAGGTAAATGTATTTATAACTATGCAGCTATGACAGGGTCAAAAATTGGAAATGTATGAAGTAAACTGACTGTACCCACCTAGAAGGAGCATCACCTCCTTGTTGATCTGATTATGCCAAAACAGATTACAGAATTGTTGAATGCTGTTGGCTCTCACCCATACTCTTAGCTACTCAGGAATGTGAGATCTGAAGATTGAAGTTTGGAGTCTGCCTGGGCAGACAAATCCAGAGACTCCAATTAATCTCCAATTAATCAGCAAAGAACTGGGACTACAGGCATGGCTCAAATTGGTAGAGTGACAGCTGTGATTGAAGAAGCTGCAGCATCCTGAGTTCAAGCACTGGTTCTGGTATGCAAAACAAACAAACAAACAAACAAACAACAAAAGGAAAACTATGAAGAGAAAGTAAGTGGGAAGATGACTTAATTCTTTTAAACTAGGATTGGGATTAGGAATAAACTAACCTACATCAATGGCCATTTTGATAAATAATCACAAAAAAATAGCTACACACTAGAGGAATGCTACAGTCTTCATATTCCCCCAAACCTCTCCTCACTGGGATAAGAGATCAGAGAAAGAAAGAGAGAGGAAGAGGGGAGGAGAGAGAGAGAGAGAGAGAGAGAGACAGATAGACAGATAGACAGACAGAGACACAGAGAGAGACACACACAGAGAGACACAGAGAGAGACACACACACAGAGACACACAGAGAGACACACACACAGAGAAAGAGCAGATGCTCATGGAGCAGTAGCAACTATGATTCTGAACTCAACTAACAGTATTCTAGCAAATTAACATATTCAAAGACTGAGTTTAAGCTGGGTGCTGGTGGCTCACACCTATAATCCTACTCAGGAGGCTGAGATCTGAGGATTTCAGTTGAAAGCCAGAGCAGGCAAGAAAGTCCCTGAGACCTTTATCTCCAATTAAGCTCCAGAAAACCAGAAGTGGCACTGTGACTCAAGTGGTAGAACATTATCCTTGAGCTGAAGAGGTCAGGGACAGTGCCCAGGCCCAGAGTTCAAGCCTTATGACTGACAAAATAAAACAAAGCAAAACAACTCCTCAAAAACAACAACCCCCTCCCAAACAACAGACCCTTGCAGGAAAAAGATAGTTGATGAATTTCACAGATACATTCCAATATAATCTTAAGAAATACATTCATGACTAAACCCTGTGTGTTCTCTTAGTCTTCACAAACACTGTTTGATTTTCTCTTTTGCTCTCTCTCTTTTTCTTTCTTTCTTTCTTTTTTTGGAAGTCTAGCCTCACAAACTTTTGCCTCCCCAGTATTG